AGAGAGGGAGGAAGAGAGAGGGATAAGGAGACAGAGAGAGAGAGAGAGAACCGGATTTGTGCTACAACAGATGACAGTCAGATTGCTAAGCGTGCGGTGCCATGAGTTTGTGAGGAATTATCCACCTCTCAACAGATCAGTTGCATTTGAGGCTCTGCATTAATCAGATGCAGCTAACCAGCATTTCAGGGAGTTCTACTATTTCTGAAGGTCAAGACTGTTCACTTGAAGAAAGTTATTTCAAGCTGCTACCTGTATGTCTTACACCTCAACCCTTGATACATAAAAGTATAAATATGAGGCCCATCATAATATTTTCATATTGGGTAACTACAGAGAATATTTTGGCAAGGGTGCTTAATCTAAAATGTTCAATTTTAATCAGTTTGAACTATGGTCTGTCTTTCTGTGAACTGAAAGCCACCAATCAATTTTCCTTTATCTTTTTTTCTGTTTTTCTTACCCAAGGCAATGCCTTTTGTAAAAGGGTATTTATTTTTAATGGATTTTTTAATGAATTTTTCAGTCAAGCTATTAATAATGCCATTAATTATAGGCAGCTTGTATTAAAGTGCACGCTGGCCTCTTAATCCTGACCCCCAGCTATTGGCTTGCAGCTAATCCAGCCTGGTGCTTGGCAGAGAAGGGCAGGACTCAGCCAGCGGCTGCTAGGAAACTGGATGGGAAAGGCAGAACCATGGGATAAGAGGGAGGAGGGCTCAGCTAGAATGTTTCGTCTCTTCTTTGCCAGAGGGCCTGAAGTTTAAAGCCAGATGATGTGTGAGTGGGGTGGGATAATCCCGTGGATGCCATGCAAGCACTTAGGAAGAACTTCCCAGTGGAAGGGCTTTGCTCTGCCTTCAAGGCCTGGCCGGTTTGATAACCCCACAGGAACACTGCGCTCCCTCACCTGAGGCGGTTATGTGTGACTGCCTCAGCTTCAATCTGCTTAAATCGACCAGACCAAGCCTCAGCCACATAATGGATTCCAATCCCTAGCTCTCTCCTCTTCTCCACCCCAGCTTCCTGGTGATAGGGAAAGTGTTTCATTACCATTTGTTTTTAAGATAATTCGGTGTTCCAGGATTTCATTCATTAGTGCAAGGCGGCTATGGGTTTAAGGTGAGGGGTGTGTCGGGTGTGTTGTGTATTTTTAAGACCGTTGGCAGGTAGCGCAAGAGAACTATTGGGTTGCGAAAGCTTTGGGGTGTCTTTTGTTGATTGTCATGTTTGACATGGGAGTTCCATTCGCTAGAAGGAAGCCAGCTCAATCTGAAGTTTGAGAAAAAAAGCCTTCAAGGGACTACAGAGCCCACTGGAGAAAAGGAATGTCAACAATAACAACCAGAAAATAGTGAGAGGAGACACAAAACAGTGAACGGAGACCGCTGACTAAAATTTGTATCCTGATCATGAAGGAAAAGGCAGGACAATAGGAAATCATGGGTCTTCGTGACAGCAATTTATTTTTTCTCTCAAAGAGAATAGCTGCATGCAATTGGCATGAGAGAAAATATTGTTTCTACTAACATATCCTTTCTAATCAAAATAAACAATCACCCTGTGGTGTTAGTCTATGGAGGGCAATGTTATAGTTATTTTCTGGTGCAATGATTTTGACATAAACCAAGGTGAAACCTCACTTTTAATTAATACCTCAAATATGTCTGGGCTCAATTCTCCAAGGAAACGAGAACATTTTAAGGGATTTATTTCACATTGGATTATCATAAATATTTACATTTTGTGTAGAAGTGGAAGAGTTTCATGGGGAGTTGATTTCAGAACCAATTGATTTATTAATGACACTTTTTTCCCCCAACTACAAGCATTAGCAGGTTCTCATCTGCCTTAAAGGATTTTGGCCATTAAAAGAAAAAAAGCATGTTAATGAGTTGTTTTTACCAGGACAAATTCTTAGGCAAGATGTTCATTCAATAGACCTTTCTGAGTGCACACCGGGCACCGTTCAGCCTTGGATGTGATGAGAGGCACAGTGTGAGGAGAAAGCACCCAGCGGCTTCGTTTATAACACAAGGAAGGAAATGAGACCTATCAGACCGACGTGCTTCTTCAAGTATCCAGGCCATGTTACATGACATTATGGGTCTGGGCTGCGCTGCACTGACACTCAAGCTCAAACAGCATAGTTCCACCCTCACAGAACTGAAAGTTAACCAAGAGACCTTGGTAATGTCAACATCTATCCTTGCCTCTCTCCAGCTAAAATTAATTTAGGTTTGATAGTATTAATATACATGCCAGAGATCACCACCAAAATATTCCCAGAAGAAAATTAGTACTACCTTAACAAAGACATGAAAAGTAGCTTGTTTCCTCCATTGCTTTTACTTTTGATAAGAGATTTTTTTTTTTAATATACAGCTAAGAGTAGGCATTTTTATTCATCCAAGACGGGCTTCTCTGATGATAGCTATATGTAGAGTCAGGACCTGGACATGGTGCAGGTTTTCTATGATCCGGCAGACTGGGCAAAGGAGGAGTCAAGAGTCCACAGTGGTTTTTTGCAGGTCTTCTATTGGGATTTAGCAGGTACACAGCAAGCAGGGGTGCTGGGGGGCTGGGAGACTGGCAGGCCTCCCAGCCCCCAGCAAGTCTTCACTCTATCTGGGCTCTCCGGCGTTCTCTGCTTCTCTCTTGGCTTTTGCTTCTTCTTTCTCAGCTTCTCTTTTGGCTTCTGCTGGCGTCCCTGTGATGCTGCCCTTAAAAAGCCCAGTCTCAGCCCATCTACCTTTGCCCACACCCTACTCCAGGTGCCCGCCATCAGGCATGCATTCAGGACTGCAAGTATCCATCATCTATCCTGATGGCAGGAGGGCAGAAAAGCCTGACATTTTTCCTTACCCTACACTATATGAATTTATTATATAGAAGAGTTTTATGAGGCATTAACTTACTATCTCTGGAATCTGGGTTCAAGAAACTGTTGCCTCAGTTTGAGAGGTAACCTTTGCCAGAAATGTGAAGAAATTCTCTCTGCAGTTCATCAATGTCTGGTCAATGTCCATGTTCTTTTAAATTCTTGGTATTTGGTGGTTAATCACACCCTGAACTCTGGACAGAGTGAGAAGTGTTCTTATACTCCAAATAGTTACTCAATTTACCTGTTTTCTTAATATGTGGTAGAATTTGGCCTATGATTTCAGAGGATAAGCAGAGTTCTTCTATACATTAGCAATAGTTCATATTTGACTTTCCACTGAACTAAGTTCTTTTTTAAAAAAAAAGATTTATTTATTTTTACACAAGAGCTGGGGTACAGGCCAGAGGCACGGGAGGGTGAGAGGATTCACCAGAGACAGACTAGGGAACAGAACAGGCAGATGACCAAAATACAGTGCTGAGGGGAGCAGCGGGCGAGACAGGAGAGGTCTGCCGCACCATGTGGGAATCTCCCTGGCTGGCTGGGAATCAAACCCGCACTGCAGAGGCTGCAGACAGCTTCACAGGGCTATGCTCTACCTGCTGCACCACCGGGGAGACCCTGAAATAAGTTCTTGGGAAGCAAAAATCTGTAATACTTTCTCTCATTCTTCTCATTCTAACACTGACATTCTAGCGCTGGCACTCAGAACATTTGAGGAAGTAAGTGAGTAAAAGGTGAAAAGCTGAATCAAAACACATGTAAAGGAATTTTAACTTTAATCACAGGGTAAGTTAGTTTTGATTAAATTGTCATTGAACACTTGATCCTTTTATTCTTTATTTTGACCCCCTCTATCCGTAAACTGAATAAACCTGAATATGTTATTTAATCTTCCACATATGCTATTTACTAATCCTTAAAATGGGAATAAAAATCCCTACTTTTGAGAGTAATGCAATTTAATAAATACAAAGTTCCCATAAAATAGCACGAGGGGGAACTCAGTATCAGTAACAAGCTTATTATTGCATTTGTTGCTTCCATACTCAACACAGCATGAATTAAAATCATACTACATGATCTTTTTTTGAAACATACTTTCTAGGAAAACAACTACTCATTCCTTTATTTAACATCCTTGCTTTTATGTGTTCCTGACTTAGCTGAAGAATTGACCTCATTGGCCATTGTATTACTTTAATAGATTACAGATCTTGAAACCAACTTCATATAATTGAGATACAGGGTTAAAGAGAATTTGCAACTAAACATTATCTAGAGCCTTCTGTATTCCTTTGTGAATTTCCAACACTTTGAAAAATATATATGTATAAGAAGTATTTGGACTCCTTTTTTTTAAGATTTATTTATGTATGCATACAGGCACTGGGGTGTAGACCATAGGTGCGGGGGTGAGAGGATTCACCAGAGAGAGTGGGGAGCAGAACAGGCAGATCTACTGAAATACACTGCTGAGAGGAGCAGCGGGGAGACAGGAGAGGTCTGCTGCGCCATGTGGGTTGCTCCCTAGACGGCCAGGGATCGAACTTGTGCTTCAGTGGCTGATGGCTGGTGATAGCTTGATAATGCTGTGTCTTTAACCCCTGCACCACCAGGGAGGCCCTGGACTCCTTTTTTAATTTAAGGGACATATTGTAGTTTATGGATTATCAGGGTTCTAATTCAAAACCAAACTCAGTAGGTATAAACCTTCCTAATCAGGTTACCGCTGCTTAACAGGAGATGAGAAAGTGTCCACAAAACTTGAATGTTATGCGGACCAGAACCTCACCAAAGAAGTCTTCTGCACTCATGTTTGTGCACCCCACTAGATTTCAGCATTTGTAAAGTGTGCCTTAAAACAAGAAGTGGAGTGAAATCAGACTAGTGGTGACAGACTCAGGATGAAGTGGATGTGGCAGTGAGATGTCTCCTCAGAACACATAGAAGAAATTTTGTCCCCAAAATGTTTGTAACTTTATTTTTCATGCTATGACGATATTAACTAAAATTTCAATTTTTTTTTTGAAGAAATGAAGCCCAAAATTTCCAAGTGAATTTCAAGTATGTTGGTTTTATCACATAGATAAAATTCTACCTGCTTTTCCCTCAGACTGTTTCCTGGCTTTCTGTTGCGGTATGCTGAGGAGAGGGGACCGGACAGCAGCCTCGCCATCTGACATTTCAAAGTGACTTCATTATCAGCCAGTCAAAGCACAAAAAGGTGACATCTTCTTTCAATGTTTGTAGCACAGATCAGGGTTCTGAACAAAACAGAGAGTGGTTCTCTCACCCTGCATTTATTTTGGTGTAAATAGAGGCATCAAAAGTCCAGTCTTCTGATCACAAAAAGCTACATTTAGCTATTGGGTAACATGTCTGAGGGAATTTATATTTTATGTCTCTGTTCACTCAGGGTCTTCACCATTCTTTTTCAATTTTATCACCCAGCCTTTATAATTTTTATTAGTTCTGTATAAAGTCAATTGCAATTTCTAGGAAAATTTTCTAAAGAAAAGTTTTGTGACATGATCTCTGCATTCAGCTCACTTTTATATGACTGTCATTGACTATCCTCATAGCCCTTTTTCTCTGTGGGAAATACTGCAATTTTAGACATTGTCAAAGTTATTGATGAATATAAAGCCCATACTTAAATATATTTAAAATAAGTAAGATCTGAGATAAGATAATCTTTTTTCCTGAGATAAAGTTGAGAGGGAGCTAATTATTTTCCCACTGGGTACAACATAAAACACAGAGCTGTTTAGTACATCAAGGTTGGGTTTGTGAGGGAGGGCCATAAGGAATTTAAGTTTATTATTCTTCTGACCCTCTTCACCTCCCACATCCATTCCCAAATAAATTTCATTTATCCCCAAAAGACTTTATTCTCAAAAAAAAAAAAAAAAAAAAAAAGCCCATGGGGCCTCCCTGGTGGCGCAGCTGTTGAGCACTAAGGTTGCAAAGCTGCCTGCAGCCTCTGCAGCGCTGGTTCGATCCCGGCTGCTCCCCGGCCACTGGAGGAGGGTCCCACATGGTGTGCAGACCTCTCCTGCCGCCCGCTGCTCCCCTCAGCAGTGTATTTCAGTCTGCCTGCTCTGCTCCCTGCTCTGGCTCTGGTGAATTCTCTCACCCTCCAGCGCTTCTGATTGTACCCAGTGCTTGCATAAATAAATAAATAAATCTTTGGGGGGAAAAAAAAAGCCCATGCTTAGGAATGGAGTCCAATATAAAAGTTATGATGCCACTTTTAACTGTGACTCACTTTCCCATTGTTTAACAGACTGTGCCACTTTAAGATAGAGGGAATAAGCCCTTGCTTCCACAAAGCACCTCACTTAGAGTTTACAAACTGCCTGTACATCCATTTCTTCATATCATTCATGAGATAATCTTATGTAATAGAAAGAGAGGGGATCTCCATCTATAAATTAGTAAATTTAGCCTCATAAAGTTTAAACAATGCCCACCAGCCTATAGGTGGCAGAGCTAGGATGTGATCCCAGATCATCCGAGTCTCTGTTGAGTGTGCTTTCCATTATGCCATCCTAAATGAAGTTAATCTGTCTTTCTTATAATGTGTGATCAAAGCTGCAGTTGAAACTAGATTGATAAACTGAATTACATGATGTCAATGTTTCTGTTTAATGATAGCATTCTCATTGTGTTTCTGGATCGCTTTGGAATGTGTAGTCTATGCTGGGAAGAATATGAGGATTCCCATCTAGAACTATCTTTCTCCCAGCTTGAAATCACCAGAGAAATTTCTTGAAAGCCTTCTGGCTCCAACCTAGATAAGAGAAGGAGACATACAGCATCTGCAGTGGAAAGCTCTAAAACCTCAACTGAATTTTTGAAAAAAAAAAATACAGCTTATTAAAATCATAGATAAGTCAATTAAGGAAGGATAGATAATTTCTCAAAATGTCTTAGAAAATCAAATAACTCCCCAAGGATTCTAAAGGAAAGATAATGGATTAAAATGTGAGTTCTTGGATCATCTTAGATCTCACCAGATGAGAGGTGGGTGATGAGGGATTGAGGTAGTTTTGAGGATGATACAAGCTATAATACAAATTCCAATTCCAGGTGAATAATCAAGGAAAGTGACTCCAGGTCAACATAATCAAGGAAAAGGAAATTCATTTTGCTGGACACTTCTTCCACCTTTCAATTAACTTGCTGGCAAGGAAAGCTAATGTGTTGCCTAACTCTTTGCTGTTTGTACATAGTCAGTTAATTATCTTTCTTACCTTTGTCTTTTAGAAACATTCAGAGGAAGTGTGCATCTTAATAGGGCAGCATTGCCCAAATTAATATTTAGTTGGTAAATCTATAATTATTTAAAATAATTGATCCCTTCATTTGTTTTCTTGTTTATTCCCTCCACCTCCCCCTTTCTCTCTCTGCCATACAGATAGCAAGTCTTTACAAATAAATTTTGGGGCTCTCTGAAAAACAATTCATTATTGTTCCCACACTTCTTTCCTTCTCCTAAGGAAGTTTCACATGGCTGATGCTTTATTGTTTCATGTCATTTGCTAGTTATTTCAGTTTGACAGTGCTGGGTTATGGATTCAAGGGAAGGAAAGTGTAAAAGAACAAAAGGAGCCCAATTGATGCTTGAGATTCTCTGTCTTCCCAGTGGGACTGTGTTTTTTGTTTGTTCTTTAGAGAAATGATGAATACTGATCAGACTAAATTGAAGACCCACAGGGAAGTTGTATGCACTAGAAAATTCTTTGAGTCCCAAACAGGATAACACATTTCATGATTTCAAAAAATACTGATGAATCTCAGTAAGGACCAGGGGAATTTTTTTTTTTAAAGCAAAGTAAATAGAATGCTCAAGGGATTGGAGTTCTTTCTCATTTCTCTCTTTCTCTATTTCTTTTAGCTCTTTAGAGCACCCACCCACCCTCTCAACATTTCTCCAGGGAGACAGACAATTCCCAAGGTTATAACAACAAAAACAGTGAGCTTTCAGAGTAAACAAAGGCTGTGCTTGTATACAGAATCTATTTTATTGGCCCAATTTAACAAACTCCTTCTACCATACCCTGTGAATAAAAGGAATTGGGACATAACTCCTGGAATCCAAGACTGTTTTGTTGAATCTACTATTTTGTAGAATTCTGGCAAGTGAAAGCAATTCAAACATACCTCATTTTACCTTATGCATAGACATGGTAGTATATGTATTACCACATGCATGACATGGTAGTAAACTATAACTGTGAAATAGTTGCAGAAAGGGACATAGATATACTCATATACTTGAGATTTATGAATTCTAAGAAATCATGATATCCCTTTTCCTTTTAACCTTATAGGTTTGCTGGTTAAAAAGGAAAACTGGAATGCCTAATAATAGATTCTAATATTTACATCTATATGTTTATTTTATTATGTAATTGCCATTAAAGGCCAAATGATAAACATTAATCTTAACTCGTCTTGATGAGCTACAAGAAAATTAAAAAGCTAAAGTATGTCTTCTTCATATATATTTTGGTATATTCTCTTCTTTATTGGAAAAGAAATCCTAGTATAGAATTGCATAGCCTGGTCTAGTCTATACTAGGACTCAGCAAACTTTTTCAGTAAAGAGTCAGATCATACATTAGGTTTTACAGACTACGTGATGTCTGTCTGAACTTTTCCACCCTGCCATGTACTGCAAAAAGAGCCACAGTTAATATGTAAACAAGTGAATATTGTGTACCTATAAAACTTTGTTTGAAAAAAAATAAAACAGATGGAAGCCTACCCATGGGCCAAAATTTGTCAACCCATTTTCTACCCCATGGCCTATGGAGTATGGTTTGGAGAAAATATTTCATCAGCTTTTGATACTAATGCAAAGCAAAGTCTGTACAGGGTTAAAGTTAATATCTGAAGCAGTGCCATTCCATAAATCCTTCATCTGTAATATTAGTACCTAGGCCTATTATTTAATAAATCTGAATCTATCATTCCATTTTTTGATAAGAAAGACTGTATTGAACATGTATGTAAAATATTGGCTTGATACTTTAAGGGAGCAAATGTATATGAGATGGCATTCTAGACTCCCTAGGAATTTGTAATCTGGCTAGGATTTCACAGGATTAACACCTAACTGCAATGTAAGATAGACTATGAGAAGTGTCTTATGTACATATATTGATAATTCATTATCTTGAAATTCAGAAAAAGAATAGAAATAATTGCTGAGGCAGGAAGGACACTAAGTATGAGTCTGTCAAGTATTTTGCCTTTATATATTTCTCATCTAATTCTAAAAATTAAACTGAGATAATGGCATTGTTTTCATTTTCTTCAGATTAGGAAATTGAGACCCAGGAGGGATAAACTGACCCCAAATATTTTTTTATTTTGCTATCACCTTTTTCAGTGAGGTGAAGGCAAAAGTGCTTGTTCATTTCTGCTCTTCACAAATTGGGGAGGTACATGAGAAATTCCATTTCCTGTCAGGAAACAGAAACAGAGAGAAATGGCGGGAGTTACCTCTGTCCTTTTTTTTTTTTTTAAGATTTATTTATTTTTATTTTATTCATACAAACACTGGGGTACAGGCCAGAGGTGTGGGGGTGAGAGGATTCACCAGAGACAGAGTGGGGAACAGAACAGGTAGACTGACTGAAATACACTGCTAAGGAGAGCAGCTGGTGAGTAAGGAGAGGCCTGCTGTGCCATGTGGGTCACCTCCCTGGCCGGGGATCGAACCCGTGCTGCAGTGGCTGCAGGTAGCTTCATAGTGCTGCATCTTAACCCCTTGTGCCACCAGGGTGTTCTTACAATAATGTAACAGAAATGCCAGATTGCAATTTATAGCCCTACCTTTTTAAACCATAAAGTATGAAGACCCCAAGATGCAAAAAATCAAGAGCTAAACCATAGCATACTGGAAAGAAAGCAAGGCACAAGACATGAATTAACCAGGCTTGTAAGAATGGCTCTGGAGTATTGTGAATGAAATGCCATGAATGCACCAGTAAGTATAGTGAGTATAGGAGTGGACTATAAGCTGATGGACATTATCATAGGCTGATACTGCTGAAAATTCTACCTTGCTAAACTAAGACAGAGTGAATCTTGAATGCAAGAGGGATTGATCATTAGATACTTGCCAGACTTTAGATCTTAGGCTTATTATCTATTAGCATTTTGGTGATAAGTTATTTTGATTCTGGTGTCCCATTTTTACATCTGGAGCAATCAAAAACTGTACCAATATGGATCACCACAATTACTTCTACCTTGAAAAACAAAACACATGTGAAATGCTGCTCCTTGCTGTGATCAAAATCTGTGTTACATACCTATGGCCTTTGGGGATTGACCTGCCCATCAGAGTAGAGGATTGAGTGCGAAACCAAAAAGCAAGCAATCTAACATGAGGCAAAAAGCAGAAGCAAGACATCTATTAAAGACTGTTAACCTACATATTTTTAATTGAAATAGCACTGCATTGAAAATCATGTTTCAGGTGTGCATCACTGAACATCACCTTGTGTATATACTACATGAAATTCAAACCATAATTCAAATTCAAATTCAAATTAAAAACCCAATTCTAGCTTCTCCATAAAATCATCCCTTTTGTCCATCCCCCATCCCTTTTGGAAAGCACTAATTGCTAACCTGTATTTTATTTATTTATTTATTTTGGCTAACCTGTATTTTAAAGTGAACCACTCCCTTCAATTAGTTTTAACTTTATTAAATTAAATATACACTTTGAGTATTTTGTGACTTAGGCATTGTTCATGAATATTCCAAAGTTACAGTTATCAGGATGTCAGACCTTATGAAAATCTTTGAAAAGAAAAATCTCAGATGGGTATCTTTTTCCTTACTACTGCTGAGTAAGCCTCGGCCTAAGAACAAGGGACCAGGCCATCAGGGATGATGGTGGTCCACATTTCCCTTTTAGAAGAAAGGATTAAGAAATGTTTTATGGGTTCCCTTCTCCTTTTTCTTGCATTACAGATATTATATATCATCGGAAACCCAGCCTCACCAGCCAGACGCGGTGCTGGGCATCTCTGTACTTAGCACAGGGAACCTGATCAATTAGTCCATTTAAAGGGAGCTCCCCAGTCAGCCTCCCTCTGGAAAATAGGTGAGAAATTCTTACATTCCTCTCAATATGTTAATCAGACAACTGGTATCACAGTTCTCTAACTGTGTAATACCAGTCCCCCTTGGCAGATATATTTTATTTGGATAATGATGTGAAATTTAAGATCTACGTTTCAATTGTGCAGAGCCATAGGCAGTTGTCAATTTTAGTGACAGACATAGACCTCGAGCTAAATTCCTGTGCACAAGCAAAAATTCCAACAAGCGTAGCACAATTCTGGTCCCTTAATAGAAATACATTTTCTCCCATCGAGGGGCAGCATTTTTAAACTGTTCATCACATCTCTGGGTACTGGCAAATCATTAATGCTCTGGAATATTTCCTTTAACATGGGCCATGGTGACTTGAGCCATCAACCAGCCTGACAGGAAATCAGATGGTTATAACCTGCTATCCTACTTCTCTAAAAGCACGGTGCTGAATGTACACCATCCTTTATCCCTCTGCAGCTTCTCCAGCGATGTTGCTAGTTAATAGGTCCAAACTCCAAGGCAAAAAGAAGAGCTCTCAAATGCTGAATTTCTGAGACCTTAGGATCTACGATCTACATACTGGGGAGAATTCCCACTGCTGATCTTGCTGTTGGCAATTACATTAAAGGAACAGCCAGTGAGCGAACTCTGTGGCCTGGGGCATGGGTAATGTGATGAGTGGCCTCTCACCTCCAGGTCGCTGGTTCAAATCCAACCGTGCCTAATGGGGGCTGAGCAGTGTCTAGTATTCTCAGTAAAATTATTTGTTAGATTGTGTGAAAACACACATCAGATCCCGAGGCAAATGTACCAAAATAAACATCACAATTAATCCTAACCCATTGGTATTATGACTAGGCACTTGTGAGTTTTAATCAGCCAAGTTGAGAAGAAGGGGAAAAAAAAGTCTGCAAAGTGTGCGTGCCTCTTAGAAAACTGACAGCTTTGCGTTGTGTCCTAAAGGTAAATAAACTGAGCTTTGTCTAAGCAGAGAGCAAGGGAATTCCAAAGAAAAGGCTGCTCTCCCCTGAAATGCAAATCAAGGACTCCAGCAAAAGGATCCTGCTCCAGGTGGACAGAGAGAGCAGCAGTCTCCCCACTGACTTGTTTACATGCTTCCAGGCACTATTCTGAGGCACAAAGAGGAAGACAAAGGATCTGGGGGTTCAGCATAATATCCTTTGCGTCTCCTCCCTGGACCTCATTTCCTCATCTGTAACCTAAAGGGTTAGGAAAAAAAATTCTGAAGCCCCTATCAGCTTCTGGGAGTCTACACTTTTTATATGAAGAGCTCGGAATTCTACTATACAAACAGCTTTTCCTCCCTGAAAGGGCCACTGTCACGATCTCATCATGCCCCAGTGAAGGCTCCTCAGAGATATCTGAGGTGAGAGCCTTGCACAGGTTGGGGGTCACCAGGGAAGATATGAAGTCTTGAAAGCTCCTGTCAGCTGTGTGTCCTTCTTCAGGAGAGTTCTCCTTTATGAACCCCAGGTCTCTCACCCTTAACACAAGAAGAAGATATCCACTTCAAAGTGTTGTGTGCACTAAAGAAGTTAAATACAGAAGGTGGCACAGTGCCTGCCATCTAGAACATACTCAACGTATGGTAGACATTTCATTAATAATTACCTCTTTCCCCCCTGACCCCAGACCACTATAGGATTGGCATTACTTATACACTCACTCAAATTTCCTGAAATTTGGACAAATCTTTCTTGTCAGATCTATGGAATTAGGAACAGTGAACTAGCGGGTTCAGGTGTTCACCCTCACAACCTCGCTTCTTCCCATTGTAGTAAAAACGTGTCCTCTGCTGAATTTGAGTGATTTCAAAGACTGACGTGCCAAAACAAAGTTGTTTGGATTTACTTGGGAAAATCTTTGGGACAAAGAAAGAAACTGAAGGCATTACCAAAAAAGGCTTTTCAAAATAAGAGATTATGAGGAAAGAGTCAAATTGGAGCAGGTGATTGGAGATGGCTTTACAGCTCATCTTCAGTCCTTTCTGGACCCAGCTTGTTGTCTACATCTTTCTCATCTGCTCCTATTTCTCCACAGTATAAATGAAACAGAAATGCCTACACCTAGATAGCTAACTACAGTGTCTCCTCAATTGACATTTCATGGATAAAGGAGAAAATTTTAGGGAAGATAGTTTCCTCCTGACAATTTGAATTCTCATCTTCTTACCTATAGATCTAGAGTAGGGTTTCTCAACCTCAGCATTCCCGATCCTTTGAGAAGGATGATTCTTTGTTGTCGGGGCTGCTGTTCTGTGCATCTTAGTACATTAAGCAGCAACCCTAGTCTCTACCTACCGGCTGCCAATAGGGTGTCCCCAGTTGTGACAAGTAAAAATGTCTCTGCATATTGACAAATGTCCCCTAGGGTGACAAAATCTGCTTGAGTAAGAATCACTGATCTAGAGGCTTCACTCCCTCCTCAAGCCATCTGGGAAGATAACACCAGTGGAAGGTAAATAGTTGGCATTTTCCCAGCGCAAAGAGCTGCGGTTATGTTGTGTTTACCCAACTTTCAAGTTATTTGTAACCATTGCTTGTCTCTCTGGCCTCCTTTAAGCCCTGTGAAGAGCTGTGGATATAGATCTCGGGTTATAGCATTAGGGATTTGGAAACAGGAACTGGAGGATTGGTGTTTGTTTTTATTTGATATTTTGATAGTTTTTGATATTTTGTGTCTGTTGAATTTTGAGTCTCTTCCAGATGGGACACAACAACACACAGCTCAGTCATTGATATAAATAAAAAAAAATTCATATATCAAGTTCCAAGAAAAATATAGACAAAAAATGGATGCAACAGATCTAGTCACAAAAACAAAACAAAACAAAACAGAAAATCCACCACTGCAGGAGAAGCAGTAAATCTGAAATGCAGCAGAAGAGAGCTGGACAGAGGAGGAAATCAGAGGCATAAAGAATGCCTGCCTCCCAATCAAAGCCATGTGCCTTTCACAACTCTGAGACAATAAATAAAATCAGTGTTCCCTAAGATTGACCGGACTTAAACTTTATCATGAGTGAATATGTCAAGATAATAAGAGAAAGGTATGCAAATATGCAAAGAAAATTATTGCACAACCACCTCCATAGCTCAGGGAAGGAAATGATAAGTGAGGCCCAACTGCACCATCTGAGCAAGAGTATGAAACTGGTTCGACTGGACTTAGAATGACCTAACACTGCACCTTGCAAAGGCAGGCACTGCTCTGGCCCAATGTAAGGATATACATGTAACTCACATCTTGCAAAGATCCTTGATTGCCAGGTAACACCAGCAGATATTTTGGCAGCTTGCCCAAGCCTCTTCAGGTGTTTGTTGTTACATGTCAGTTTCAGAAATGTTACTGACATTTTTCCTGCTTGCACCCTCTGCAATGAAATAGTACACTCAGAGTTGTCTTTATCCTGCTCACATTTTCTCAAGAACCAGAGTCAGATGAGACAGCGGAATAATGTATTTAAGGTTCACGTCTTTAGACTCTCTCACTTAGCCTGTTCTAGCACTGGGGGGAAAGGAAAGTGGAAATAGGATGGTAGAAAGAGGTAACACAGGAGAATAGGAAGTTAGGCCAGATTCAAGTACTTTCCACTTCATTTGTAAAGATCCTCGCATGCTCCTCTCCCTCCTTCTCATTTGCCAGTGGTTTACGCCTTGCAAGGCAACAAGAATAAGGTGAAGTTCACCTTAATAAGGTGTGTTCAAGAATAAGGTGAAGTTCACCTAAGCACACACTAGAGCAACTCACTAGTTCCCACAGTCGTCCTTTTCTGGCATAGGAGTTTTTCTGGGATTTAAAAACTGTTGATCAGCCATTCCTTTGCAATGCCTTTTTCTTTCTCCTCATAAAAAATCTGGACATATCCATTTCTAAACCTCCTCCCCACTCCAAACACCACTATTGGTTAGATATGCATTTTACTGTTTACTAGCTAAGAATAGGACAAGCTTCCTTTTTGAAGCAAAGGCAGCTCTACTGAGCGAAGGGATCCCTGAAGGATAGCTGAGCCCTCCCTGTGCAGAGAAGGTTCTCTGGGTGTAGTCAGCCATGTATATGTTATATGCAGCCAGACTCTTCTTCAAAAATAAAAGAGCAAAAAACACACATTGTAAACCCCCTCAAGAATTCACAAAATAACTTCTTACCTTTAACATTAGCTTTAAAAACGATGAAAGGAAATTATGCTTGGGCTTTAGATGAGGCAAGATGTTTAATTCCAAGCTTCTCTTTCAGTAGAAATGGATAGAAGATGAACAATGTGCCATCAGTGATACAGATAGAGAAATTGTGCAGGCCATTTTCAAGTGATCTGTAAAATGATGTAATATCAATTATCCCAGATAGTTTTGAGGATCAGATATAATGGTCTAAGAAAGTACTGTAAAAATTTAACGTGGCACTTGACTGTAAAACACTATTAATGATGATGTTTATTTGTTTAAATAGCAGCTCAGGGTCCAGTACATTATTTTGATAGAACAAAGGTGTGGAATGGAGGCAAGTTGGGGGATGTCCTGTTGGCCACATTCCTTTCACTACCACCTGTCAAACGTTAAAGTGTGTGGTGATGTGTTAATCACATTCTACATTTAAGGACACTTTTGCCACTGTTATCATCATTAGATGCTTGAGGTTACTTGTTAAAGCGTAACCTCTAAGGAAAACTGTGAAAATTGTCTTTGGAAGTTTTCACTGAAGAGGGTACATGGAATTGTCACAAAATAATGCCCTGAATTGTTATCTTAGGTATAACTCCTGCTTAGTTTGTGACACTTTCCTGTTAACCTTTCTTGCGAACACCACCTTGCTCCTAGGGTACTTGACATTGAATTATTAATTATTACATAGATATGACCAGTTCAACTGAAAATAATACAGGGACAAGTAAATAGATAATTTTGTTACTGAGAGTTCACATGCTAAACATATCTTGGAAACTGGAACAAGGCTAATGGGAAGATTGCTCTTTATTTAATTTCCCAG